TGACAAAATAGTTTTATGGGCAAAAATCTCGTGTTCGTCATGTGACCCGGCCCTATCCGTGCATGACAACGTCAATCATCATCAAGATAGCACGTGTGATCAGCATGTAAATACCTCATTGGATCACAGTTAGTTGTCATGGTGTTGAGGGCCCAATGACCTCTGGGTACTATTGCGCAATTTTTCCATTTTGTGGCGGAGGAAAAAAACAAACTAGACCCTGTGAGCAGGGTAACTGGGATAACTGGATGGTACTGGATCCGTGAAATCAAGTGTAGTGATACTACGCGTGTCGGACTAGTATACTGAAATAGTGAGCTCAAGTCTGGCCAAGGGCATACACCTGTCTCAAAACATAGGCATGCTATGCATGCAAGAGTTATTTTTTGTAGGGTGGGTGGATTACTTGAAACATTGTAAGTGGTCTACATTCTTACAAAAGGAAAGAAGATTATTAACGCGGGAAAGAATGAAAATGTCGAATTACCTCACACACAGGTATTTTGTGGTAGATTATGTGTGTTGTGCGAATAAATGTAACCAAAAATAAACTGTATTGGCCGCGAACAATACGACTTGTGTATGCGTCTATAAGTATTTTGAGCGTTTGCCCCATAATGCTCCAGATGATCGTAATCCAATTACGTTGAAATACAAAACGACTGACAAAATAGTTTTATGGGCAAAAATCTCGTGTTCGTCATGTGACCCGGCCCTGTCCGTGCATGACAACGTCAATCATCATCAAGATAGCACGTGTGATCAGCATGTGAACACCTCATTGGATCACAGTTAGTTGTCATGGTGTTGAGGGCCCAATGACCACTGGGTACTATTGCGCAATTTTTCCATTTTGTGGCGGAGGAAAAAAAAAAAAAAAAAAAGACGACAAAAAAACAAAGGCATTTTATGACTGGGCTACCACAGGTATCCCAGTAAAAAAAAAAAAAAAAAAAAACGACAAAAAAACAAAGGCATTTTATGACTGGGCTACCACAGGTATCCCAGTAATTACAACCTCAGCATATTTTAGCTCTTACGGTTTCTCAGAAATCTGCTAGGGGAACCCCCTAATGCTAATTTTAGCAAAGAAGCATTGAATAATTACGTCCTTGGTCAAGGGAAATAAATGCAAAATTGTAATTTTGACAGACAGTTGCCATTTCATAACTGTTGTTCTCCGTTACAAGTATTATACTATAACTATTTTTTAAGTTTATACATGCTCATGAGAACTAGCCTGACGGCCAAAACGATCTACAGAGTGATTCCCGCACGGTCCACGATCCACGGAAATCTGTTCTTACGGATGGCTCTGTCTACCTCAATGCCTGTAACATTTTCTTTGGTCAGGAACCTTACTTCAGGCTTTTAGGTAAGGCAATTTTTTCTTAAAAGTGATGGCATTAAGCTAAAATCACTGTAGTTTCATTTTAACATTTGGATCATCCAAATGTGCTTAGCAAAGCATTTCCGTCGCTTTTCACGGTCCAAACGTAAGTAAAGAAGAAGTACTGAAATCTATCATTTGACACTGCTCTAAGAAATTTGAAGAAGGATCTACATAAACTGTCTCCCAAATAAGCATCGAATATAAGGTTTATGTCGATACGACAAAAATTTATGATGAATCACAAAATATGATAAATCTTTCACGAACATGCCCCGACATATATCCCGATCATCCACATCAGCGAATAGCATACCCGTGAGTTGTTTTGGATACTAAATATGGATTAGAAATGCTTCTCACTCCTTTATGATTAACTAAACTCACCTTCAATTTTGGAGCTTCTAAATATCAGTGCAAGTATGACCACAGTTATAAGGCACGTAACACCAGCAATCCAACATATGGCTTTTTTCCACCGAAATTCTTTTAGACTTGAAACGTCAATTAAGTTTCGGCCCGGGTTTTTCTTCTTGACATGACATAGTTATTTTCTCAGGTTGTAGATTTTGGCGGTGAACGATAATTATAGAATAAGTATCAAAAATGAATTCGATACCTGTCGCTTTCAAGTGCAATGCAGAGTCATAACTGACTCAGTCTTCTGACCAACGCTTTTCCGATTTCTCGGAAATTAAGTAGGGGAACCCCCTCTCGGAACGAGGTTAACCCTCATTGATCACTGCATGACAAATGCATGCAATTGACGTAAGAGCAGGGTTGCAATCAAAATGTTATGAAGGAGTTTTAGTGAAATTCCGAATAAGTCAAATATTATTTACGATTTATTGTTTCTTACATAAAAAATCTGATAAACCGTCATCATTACGCCTGGGACATTAAGTTTCGGCCTGCGCTCTACTCTTTAACGTGACCTTTTTATTTTGCTGCTTGAGAAGATGATAAATGAATATCATAAAGTTAGATTTCAGCAAGAAGCTTGACTCTCCCAGTGTCTCTCACCGCCGAGGAGTCCAATTTGGTGCCGTAGAGAAAAACGTGATGTAATACTGGGAGTAGCTTGCGATAGACCAGTATCCCACTCACGAGCTAGAAGTAAACATTGCTTTACGTAGTTGCAACTTTCGATGCAAAGGGCCACTTTCAATGAATAAAGACTCTTCCTCCCCCCGTCCATGACGCAAGCCACTCTTAGGTGAATTGCTCTAAGGCTATTCATCTCACAGCAGTAAGGTTGATTTAAAACTGTTCTTAGGATGCATCGCTGGACTCGATGTTAAGAATTATAAAAGGCATCACGTATCAACGAAACAGGACCCACTAAGTAAGCGTTTGAATAAAACAATATTTCCAATGTCAAATTCTAACACTTCGCTCAAGTATGGTCAAACACAATAATTTTAATTTAACCGGAAAAGTGAGGCGATAGAAACTCTAGAGTAAAGTTTGTGGTGTATTAACAAAACTTAAACAGTGATCGACTCAATGTGCTTCAGTTTGTGTACTGACATTTTTATTTCTAAACTTGATTATAAAACAGCATTGATAACAGTGCAAAGTTGAAAGGTTACGGAGTAACAATTTTATTGGCCTCATTTATACAAAATATATTAATTTTCAACGAATATTTAAATGAATCTTCTTTAACTTTTCTGTCATTGTATTTTGAAACCTCCAGTAACAGAGGATTAAGGGACCAAGTTATTATGTTATTATTATGTTCGAGGACCGTACACTCCAATGCATTACAAACCCTTTATGGGATGGTGTTAAAGGAAACTGTAAAGGTAGCTTCCATGCATCAACTTATTTCTTCTTTACGTACTTACAAAGTAATTATAACGCAAAAGCGATAAAAGTGCCGAATAGAAAAATTGCGATGAGTGGCTGGGGCGTCCAGTAGAAGAAGCTGCAAAACAAACGAAAACAATGTCAAAACAAATTCAATCAGCATTGCTTACAATGAAGGTTTTCATAGGTGCATTCAAAGATGTAACACTGTTAACGCTGTTGGGAGAGCATAAGTTGTGGTCATGCCACCCCTTAAACAATAAAATGATGGTTCACAAATTCAGGATACTCCACCCGAAGGTTAACCTATTGATGCAAGGTAATAGCCTTTTAACTGAAGGTCATGATAAATTCAAAGCAAAAACAAGCTTAGAAGCACAGCTTGCTTACCCTTACACTGCCTGCCATTTCCATGATATCCTTTCTTACAGGAACACCTGTATGATCCCCAGGTATTCGAGCACTGAGCTTCTGCATGACAACAATGAATACCCTCTTTGCACTCATCCACATCAAAACACAAAAAACCATTACCATAGAAGCCGGAATTGCAACTGCATGTATAAGAGCCATCGGTGTTTCTGCAATCTGCATTCCTGGCACAATGCTGACCACTACTGCACTCGTCTTTATCGTGGCAATTTTTCCCGTCGCCTCGGTATCCCGCAATGCACTTACAGCTAAAAGAACCAGGTGTGTTCGTACAACTTGCTTTCGAACTGCATTCGGCTGTCCCTTCCTTGCACTCGTTGATATCTACGAAGGAATTAAATAAGTTAGTTATCCCTCTCATCCAACGATAGAATAGTAAACGAACAGCAACCCTAGAAATATCAAGCTCCCACCACAAGACCGGGAGTGTCTAGAAAAGATTCATAATAGTAAGGGTCATAGGCTACTTATTTCTAGCGCTTCAACTGCTAATTTTATGCTCACCGTTGCATGACTGTCCATTTCCGCGATACCCGTCCTTACATATACAGCTGTGAGATCCTGGGATGTTTACACACCTGGAGTGAAGGCTGCAAAGATGACTTCCGTCGCTGCACTCATCAACATCTTGACACACATAACCATCGCCGGAAAACCCAGAACGACACACGCATTCATGAGAGCCCATAATGTTTTTGCATTTTGCATTCCTATCACACTTGTGAGTTCCATCGCCACATTCATCAATGTCATGACATGACAGTCCGTCCCCTACGAATCCTTGTCGACAAGTGCACTCGTAAGAGCCAATTATGTTATTGCAAAATGCATGATCACTACAATTGTGTTTATTGGTGTGACATTCATCAATATCATCACAGGACCGTCCATCCCCCAGAAATCCTTTGTGACACTTGCAACTGTAAGAGCCGACAGTGTTATTGCAGGATGCATAAACACTGCAATCGTAAGTGTAATTCTTGCATTCGTCGATGTCAAGACAAGACCGTCCATCGCCTTGGAATCCTTCGAGGCAACTACACATGTAGGAACCGACGGTGTTATTGCAGGATGCATAAACACTACAAGTGTGCTTGTAAGTCTTGCACTCGTTAATGTCATTGCAAGACCGTCCATTGCCTTGGAATCCTACCAGACAACTGCACATGTAGGAGCCGACAGTGTTATTGCAGGATGCATGACCACTGCATGTGTGTGTGTTATTCTTGCATTCGTCGATATCATGACAAGACCGTCCATCGCCTTGGAATCCCTCCAGACAACTGCACATGTAGGAGCCAACAGTGTTATTACAGGATGCATGAACACTGCAATCGTGTGCGTTAGTCTTGCATTCGTCGATATCATGACAAGACTGTCCATCACCTTGGAATCCTACCAGACAACTGCATATGTAGGAGCCGACAGTGTTATTGCATGATGCATGAAAACTACAGTTGTGAGCATTAGTTTTGCATTCATTAATGTCGTAACAAGACCGTCCTTCTCCCACAAATCCATTCAAACAACTGCATTTATAGGAACCCACAGTGTTGTCACACACTGCATGGTCGCTACAGCTGTGACGGCAGTTAAAACTTGTCGCTAGTGTTGGTGCATCTGTTAAGGAGAGACGAGACGGATCAATATTTTTATACCGAACTTTAAAATTCTGGACGGCTCATGACTTTTTGAATTGTCATTATTTCGGCGCATTAGACACTACACAAATAATTCAGCAGATCAAACCCAAAGACAACAGCTTTACATCAGTACGTGCAAATTGCCTATCGAAGCATTTTCTTGTTCTCAAGTTCACAGTCGAAAATAAGCTTAAACTGCTGATATCCATCGCTGTTCTGTTGGTATGTTTAAGAATTAAGTTTCGACTAAGACAAAGATCGGATGAAAAGTCATTGCTGAAGCAAAGTATTGGTGAATGAGCAAGTTAACTTGGGAAAGAATATTGAGCAACTCTCACGCTAACAGTTAAATTTCCAGGGATTCATGCTACAGCATTCGCAAAAATGTGCATGTGATTGCTTTATATTGCTGCGTTGAATTCAATCCTTCACTCCTTCACTCAGTGACAAAGAAATAATTTCCGATACTCACCTCCGATTTTGAGAGATTTTTTAGTTCGTGTTGTTAGTGCAAATATTAGACCAAAACAAGTAGCCACGATGAACAGAATTAGAAGTCCTGCCTTCCAATTCGACTTGATCGATCCGTCTATGGCTGTTGAGACGAATACTTTATGCCTCGATTCTTTCCCTTGATGTGTCTTATCCATTGGACTCAGTAGTTTACTAATATATGATGTTATTATAACTAAGGAATATTCAAAAAGGAGTCGAACGTACGAGTGTCGCTATCCAGATGTAAATTAAAACCTCAGCATATCTGAGCTCTTTCGGTTTCTCAGAAATCTGCCGGGGAACCCCCTAGTGCTATAAACAATTCGTTATCATATTGCGAATTTTACCGAAAATTATTTTTAAGCAAAGAAGCATCGAATAATTACGTTATCGGTCAAGGGAAGTGAATGCAAAATTATAATTTTGACAGACAGCTGCCATTTCATAACCGTTGTTTACTGTTACAGATAATATACTATAACTATTAATGAAAAAAATCCAAGTGAAAAAGGAGAATATAACGGTTTTTTAATATTTGAGCATTGTGCTGATCAAAGGATATGACAAGAAATATGGAATAAACAAGACTAAAACACATATCAAGCAAGTGAATTAAACCTAATTATCTAAGGTTAATATGATTCATGGTAGACAATCGTGAGTGATTTATAGTACATGTTTTTATGGCAACTCGGCGCTTAGAGATACGTAGGAGTTTTTTTAGTTTATACTTGCTCATGAGACGGCCAAAACGATCTACAGAGTGATTCCCGCACGGTCCACGATCCACGGAAATCTGTTCTTACGGATGGCTCTGTCTACCTCAATGTCTGTACCATTTTTTCTGTTCAGGAACCTTACTTCAGGCTTTTAAGTAAGGCATATTTTTCTTAAAAGTGATAGCATTAAGCTAAAATTACTGTAGTTTCGTTTTAACATTTGGGTCATCCAAATGTGCTTAGCAAAGTATTTCCGTCGCTTTTCACGGTCCAAATGTAAGTAAAGAAGAAGTACTGAAATCTATCATTTGATGCTGCTCTAAGAAATTTGAAGAAGTATCTACATAAACTGTCTCCCGAATAAGCATCGAATATAAGGTTTATGCCGATAAGACAAAAATTTAAGATGAATTACAAAATATAATAAATCTTTCACGAACATGCCCCTACATATATCTCGATCATACACATCAGCTAATTGCATACTCGCGAATTGTTTTGGATACTAAGTATGGATTAGAAATGCTTCTCACTCCTTTATGATTACAAGGCACGTACCGAAATTCTTTCGGACTTGAAAGGTTAAGTTTCGGCCCGGGTTTTTCTTCTTGACATGACATAGTTATTTTCCCAGGTTGTAGATTTGGCGGCGAACGATAATTATAGAATAGATATCAAAAATGAATTCGATACCTGTCTCTTTCAAATGCAATGCGGAGTCATAACTAACTCAGTCTTTTCACCGACGCAAGCACGATTTCTCGGAATTTAAGTAGGGGAACCCCCTTTCGGTACAAGCTTAACCCTCATTGGTCACTGCATGACATATGCATGCAAGTGAAGTAAGAGATAATATGACATATTTGTGGCATCATACGGCACTTTGCAGAGCTCACACTTGCAGGGTTGCAATCAAAATGTTATTAAGGAGTTTTAATGAAATACCGAATAAGTCAAATACAATTTACGATTTATTGTTTCTTACATAAAAAATCTAATAAACTGTTCATCATTACGCCTGGAACATTAAGTTTCGGCCTGCGCTCTACTCTTTAACGTGACCTTTTAAGATGATAAATGAATATCATAAAGTTAGATTTCAGCAAGAAGCTTGACTCTCCCAGTGTCTCTCACCGCCGAGGAGTCCAATCTGGTGCCGTAGAAGAAAACGTGATGTAATACTGGGAGTAGCTTGCGATAGACCAGTATCCCACTCACGAGCTAGGAGTAAACATTATTTTACGTAGTTGCAGCTTTCGATGCAGAAGGCCGCTTTCAATGAATAAAGACTCTTCCTCCGCCCGTCCATGATGCAAGCCACTCTTAGGTGAATTGGTTTAAGGTTATTCATCAGCAAGATTGATTTGAAAGCTTTCTTAAGATGCATCGCTGGATTCGATGTTTAGCCCTTATCGTGCGGCTCCCGCAATATTCTGGGCGCACGTGTTCGTCCCGGAATATTCCGGGTTTCCGAACATCATTAGGGACCTTAAGCAAACCACAACGGCGACGGCAACGAGGACATGGAAAAAGAAAAGATCTTATTGGCAGAACAATAGCTCAGCAGGTACGTTTTAAAACTTTGTACATTTCTTAGCCGCCCCACGCAATACGTTATGCTGAAGTTGAGGTGTGGCGCCGTATGAGACGGTAAACAAATGTTGCCACTTTTGAAATTCTAATTTAAGGCAGAAATTCATTTTTTAATCGAAGTCTTCCTTAGCGTTGCCTTCCTGACTGCTTAAGGTCCCTATTGTTTTATTGCAAGAATAAAGCCCTTGGTGAACTATTTCTAAAAAACATAGGTTTCGTTTTCTTTGGAGCGTTATTTATTTTTTGTGATTTTTTTTTTCAATTTTGCCTGTGGAGGCCGACTAAAATCACGCCAAAGTAGGCACTTTCACAGAAGCCCCCTTTTATACACAGAGCTTTTTCTTGAAAGGACTAACCCTGTAGATCAAATAATTATACTTCCTTCGAAGACTGGTGGTGTCAAATTTTAATAAGACGTAAACATGAATTTTTGACCAATTTTTTGAAGTTGTGCCCTTTTAAGAGTGATTATAACAGCCCAATTTTGGCTGAATTCAGGGACAAAAAAAACATCTTGGTACATCACTTTGCTCCACGAAACTACACCCCAGGAAAACATAATCAATTCGACTAAACATTGGTCGAAAAAAAACTGGGGTAAATTAAACAGCGAGTTTTTAGAGCGTTTTCAAAACAGGTCACTTTAGCAATTTTGAGCGATCTTTTGACCTTTCATATCGATCGGAAATTCTAACACGAGCTTTGAATTTGAAAATTTGGAATCAAGTATTAGCCACGGAGGACAACTTGAAAAGTAAAATTAGCAATTTTACCCAGTTTCATCAGTAGGCAATTCGTGTTTGTTTACCACGAAATCATAATTTCAAAGTATGTTTACAACACAGACACGGCATAACTACGAGTTTATGAATTGTTTAACAAATATTCTAACCTTTGAGATGTTTCCCTGCCTAATGGTCCACAAGCAGCATATTCAATGCAGATCGCCGAACGCCTCACGCCAATGAATAGGTTAAACTTTTTCCTTTATTTTTTGGACGTTAGGGCGTAATATCTAAATTACTCAAAGATCACGTAAATTGAGAAGAGAGCCGTGTTCTAAAGAGGCTGCGAAGATTTCCTTTTCTTAACCTTACATAGTCTATTTACTAAGCATAAAGCGAAGTTTGACGGAGTAAGATAAGACCACAAGAACGGCGCTTTTGAATGGCAGCGTGAGAGTATGGGCAGATTGTTGGGGGAAATGCGGTTCAAGTGTCGACAATTCAGGCGATGTGAAAATTTTAATTCTTGCCAAGTGTACTAAATCCATGCAAGGGCACTTGCGTTATTTCAACATTCGGGACACTACGTCAGACTTTGATGCAACGTTATTATTGGCGCGGGCAGGTATGTAGTAACAGTATGTATGTATTTCCAACATAAACTGGTCGCCTCGCTACATTTTCACAATTGAGAAAGTCGGTATAGCGTGGAAATTTTAATTTTCGGTATCTCGTTCATATATATCAAGCACCGTTGAAGATCAATAAGTTTACCTTTAAAGTCCTTTTTTTGTTAAGTCAAAGTTTGCACATCGTCTAGGTGTAAATGAACATAATGCTGAACCGCAATTTTAGAACCAAAACTCTTCCATAGCTTGACCCTAACATTTTAATTAAATGAACTCAATTAAATTTAATTTAAGTTATTGCATTTCGTGAATGTATCGAAAACATCGCCGTGTTTTTCATTGTTTACTGCCCTTTTTCAGTGTTCACCTGACAACGTTTAAGCGTATCCAGAACTATATTCCAGGGCTCACACAGTACCGGTTTAAAGTGGCGAGACAGCACTCTCTTCAATATGGGCATGGTACTTTACTACCCCGGCCAAGAAGCCTGAGGATGCAAGTGGAAGATAAACAGCTAGATCACTTTTTGTCCTGCATAACTAGCCCGCACGTGATCCAGGATGTTCCCTTTGGGCAGCGATACCTCCGCCTCTCTTCATGCAAGATTCTAGAGACTCCAAGTGTCATAAGGACAATTATTCCTAACAAGCTATTAAAGCAGTACCAAGCTTATTGTGAGGAAACAGAATTTACCCCATTCAGCCCAGCGACAATGTTAAGAGTCCTGTCTGCCTGTGCGGCTTCAGTGAGAACTTCCGTACAAGGGCTCGATTACATTGCTTCAGATGGTGGTGCAAAGGGTTTCGAAGATCTGTGTGGAATGGTGAATCAACTTAAAAAGAAAGGTCTTGATTGGGAGACTGCTAAAGGATGGGAGATGCGTCTCAAGAAAGGCATGCAGTATCTAAAGGCTGACTATAAGGTACGAATGACTGTTTATAATAGCGGCGCAGTATAATCACCGCAAAGACGAGGTTGAATAAATATATCGTTGGAATAACCATGTATGGAGAGTGGCGTTACTTATATTAGATAATCCTATCCAAATTATTGTTTTATTAAACTTACCAGACAAATTTCGCGTAAAATAGATAAAAATCGAAATTTTAATAGTCAAACAATCAAATAATCTATGAATTTCTCTTTTTGAAAAGGTTTATGTATCTGAGTCCTCGCCTATAGCTGACCACTGCGACAGTTAGGACGGTGATTTAAGATCTCACTGTTCTCATGGGCATGATCTTAAGTGTTCACAATATGAAAGTCTTAGTGATATCCTTTGCTCAATCGAAAAATGCTTGGCTGAGTCAAAGCTTCCACCTGAAGAAGTGGAAGATTTTTTGTACACACACAGCCAGGCAGCTCAAGCAATGAATTCCTGGGAGGCACACCAACTCAGAAGTGTCAGACAAGACACTGCAAGAACTGTGTGCTAGACAAAGCCAAAATAACATACCACAGTCTCCTTAAGGACGATGACAGCAATGCAAGAGCATTTGCCCCAAGAGAAACACAGAAGACGGATGGTGTCATCTTATCTGAGGGTTGGGCGTTAAAAAGCGCAAAGAAGTCGGCACGATTTAATGAAGCACAAAAAAAGTACCTGGAGGAAAAATTCAACATTGAGCAGCGAACAGGTCACAAACAAAACCCTGAGCACGTGGTGAAAGATATGCGTTTTGCGAAAAAACCAGATAGTTCGAGGCTGTTCTCGAGCGAAGAGTTCCTAACCACACAGCAGATGCAGTCTTTTTTTTCAAGATTGGCATCTAAACTGCGTCACGCTGTGGAGGTTGGCAATTCAGATATCAAAGCGGCACAGGAGGAACAAGAATACCACGAAAATCGTCAGGCTATGCTGGATCAAGTCCAGTTACAACACCCTATTGCGTACGACAGCCTGAACCTGTGCAAGTTGAATAAAAAAGGCCGCATGAAAGCACTCAGCTTAGCGATGCTAAAGAGTATCGCGACTTTTTTGGCGTGTCTACAGACGGATTTCACCCAAGACGCAAAGCAGAGTACCTTTCCGCGTTAAGAGATCTTGTAAAAGGGTGTAGTGGTTGTGACACCCCAGTCTAACTACTCACCTGAGACAGTTGCCGCATTCCTATCCATTGTTTTGTCTTAAGTTTAATTTCCTGCTTATAATTTTTTTTAACACTTTTTACTTGTTTGTGATGTAAGAAATATATGTGCCCTTTTTGACTAAATATTTAACTTGATAGATCACAAGAGAGAAAAATGGTTGACACAATTTAGAATTAGCGTATACTATTCGCAATGGTATCACAGTTTCGTGAATTGTAATAAGGACTGACAGGAGCCTATTACTTAAAAGTAATGGGCTCCTGGGACCGATAAGTTGTATGTAGGTAACAAAGGCACCGTCAGAAATCAGTAGTGGCGTCGTTCGATAGATGTTGTGGTTCACTTAGTTTGTAAAATTATTTAAAATTGCTTTAGCAGTTCTTTTCAATCTAATATTCAGTACAATGTTGCCTTGTGCCGTTTGTCATATAAAGGTAGTCCATTCTTAAAGCGACAGTTAAGTGTCAAACAAAACACGGTATTTTATTAAAAGGACTTATGCGCTGCTAACTTTTTCAAGAAAACGCTCTGTGTACAAAAGGGGGCCTCTGAAGAAGTGCCTACTTTAGCGTGATTAGAAATTCACCAAAAATAAATAAAGCTCCAAAGAAAACGAAACTTATATTTTTAGAAATAGTTTACCAAGGGCTTTATTCTGGCAAAATTTGGGGAAATCGGATTTTTCTATTTTTTTATACCCTTAGTCGCTCCTTACAGCAAACCGTTCTTAAGCATCCGACAGAGTTCCGAAGATCCGAGTAGAATAAAATAACTAATTAGCATGGAATATACTTTGTCGCACGGTAACACGGCTGTGACCTAAAGTGGGACGGGGACTTGAAGACTGAGACGTGGAACTCGGGACTTGACTCGAGGACGTGGGACGTAGGACTCAGTCCCCACATCCCCATCCTACCTTTGGTCACAACCCGGTAACACTGATAAACAAAGATGGGTGCCAATATTGTATTTGTTGATGAAGGAACTATCGATGAAGTTTTCGGCGGTGAGGATAGCGATTTAGATGAAAACATGGATAAAGAAAGAACACGACAGGGATATACTACTCGCACGCACTCAGAATTCCACGGTTTCATAACATGCTAACGGAACCGGACACAAGCCGCTGTGGAACTAAATAAAGTTTATTGACCGAGACAACCATTGGTACACATGGAAAGTGAAAGAGGCAATTGACATAAGACTTAACCCTAACAACATAAACAGGGACAACGGAGCCGAAATACCGGAAGCGTGGATGCCGACAATTAGAAAACATCAAAGCCAGCGACTTTGTCGTGAGACAACAGAACAAATTTATATCATCATTTTTTCACTTGTGTCATAGTGATAAATTCCTCAAGGACAGGAAGGGTTAAACAAGCTTGGCACTATATACAGTGTTGTCACTGGGAACTTTTCAGGTGCCTGGAAGCCAGGAAAAAATATTCGCATTGATGAGGGAATGATTCCTTTCAGAGGAAAAGTCCACTTCAAAGTGTACGATTTAGACAAGCCAAATAAGCATGGTGTTGAGTCATACCAGTTGTGTGACTCAAGTAATGGGTATTGTTGTATGGTTGAAATTTACAATGGTGTAACTGGTCCATCCAGTGCTAAAGGTAAAACATGTGACTTGGTCATGAGGCTCATGCAACCTTATTTGAATGTGGGTAGGTGTTTGTTTGTTGACAACTACTACACATTACCTACTTTATTTGCTGAGCTCTGTAGGCAGAACACTGGGGCCTGTGGAACATCCCACTACAGGAAAGGTATCCCCCAGGAATTTACAAGGGCACAATTGAAAAAAAATGGTAACACGTTTGTTATGAATAATTATTATTGTTATTATTAAATTAAAGGGCCGCAGGGTTTTCCAGATGCTGTCATCAGTTCATTCCGTAGTGGATGTAGAAGTAGGCCAAAATCACCCTGGAACTGGCCACCCAATCACTAAACCTGAGATTATTCATGACTACAACAAGTTCATGGGGGCAGTTGACAGGTGTGATCAGATGGTGGCCTATTCTTGCTTCTGGCGACGCACCATGAGGTGGTGGAAGAAAAAGTTCTTCCACCTTTTTTTCTTGATCCTGAATGCTTACATTCTCTACAAGCAAAGAGCCTGGTCACCTGTGTTGCAAAGGACCTTTCAAAGGGAGCTCTTGAAGGAGCTTGTTAGGAATTCTGGCATCTCCCATTCTCTTTAAGTTGGAGGTCACTTCCCAGAGAAAGTACTGGGCATTGGGAAGAAGTTCATCATCACCTGGGCATATTTGGTTTGCTTTCCTGCCCTAAAGAAGATCCTAAAAAGGACAGGAGATAAAAGGTGGAGGTCAGGAGAAGAGTCTAGCTTTCAGTGCAGTGTATGCAAAGTAGCCCTCTGTATGCAAGACTGCTTCCAGTTGTACCACACTGTTCAGGTATGTTGCTGCCTACATTCAAAGACATGATGCTAATAATGATAATGTGGATGCTGAAACTAATTCATTAACTTTCACCATTATTGATTAATCATAACCATTATTCATCTTTTGTTTGGTTTTGTTAGGTTTTGAATTCAATTCAAACACAGAAATAGATAAAGTTACAACATAGACCCATATGACTGAGCTGACTGTTTTGAACTACTTCAAAAGCAAACAATGTACATAAACTCTTAATTTTGATTATGTGTTGACTTGACAAATATGCAGTCTTGCTACTGTATTGAGAAAAAAAAAAGCTGTCATGTAGAAGTGCATTACGAAGAATAAAGTCAGTTTAAGGATTGTAACCTGAACCTCAAAGTCAGCATGCTAAGGGGTAAATTATAAAAGGCATCACATATTTATATTAACAAAACTGGACCCACTAGGATAGCATTTGAATAAAACAAAACCAATGTCAAACTCTAACACTTTGCTCAAGTATGGTCAAACACAATAATACTATATAATAATAATATAATAAATAATTTAGTCCAAAAAATGAGATGATAGAAACTCTGCAATGAAATTTGTGGTATATTAAAAAACAAAACTTGTCAGCACACTAGTGTGCTGACATTTTTATTTCTCAACTAGATTTTAAAACAGGACTGATACCAGTGCAAAGCTGGTAAGTTAGAAACTAACAGTTTTATTGGCTTCATTTATACAAAATGTAGAAGATCAATCTATTTAACTATCATTAGACCACATCTGGGCTATTCTACACAAGTTTGGCTGCCACAATCTATTTATCTTATCTCAAATCTAGAAAAGATACAGAGACAGCCTACAAAATATATCTTGACACTACCATTCTCGTGCTGTCAGAGTTATGAATAATGGCTTAAAACCCTTTCCTTACTACCTATCAGGTACTGGCATGAGTACTTAGATATTTTACTGTTCTTTAAGATTACCCATGGTCTGGTGGATATAGACCCTACAATTGTTCCTATTGCTCATTCTAAAAGACACACTTGATCATCTGCCAATACAGCTGTTACCAAATACTCTGAACCTAAATGCAAGACTTCAACCTTTCAACAGTCATTTATTGTACAAATAATAAGAATGTGGAACACACTTTCAGGCAAGCTAATCTAAGTATTAACAATGTAAATGACTTCAAACATGCTTTGATATGTTATTATTCAACTGCACTCCAAGAGATCTATGACATTGACAATGCCAGGACTCATAAAACTACCTGTGCAATATTTAATTCATATGGCAGCCTGAAAACAACTCCATGCTGTTCTTAATTATCAATTATCGTTTTACTATTTGAATACTTCTGGGACCACAGTAATTGACTATCACTGTTATGATTGCCTGCCCATTATTGTTATTGTAATTTACCCATGTTCTACATTGTATGTATTGTTAATACATACAAGCTAATTATATTAATTTTCAATGAATATTTAAATCTTCTTTAACTTTACTGTCATTGTATTTGGAAACCTTTAGAAACAAAGGATTAAAGACCAAGTTATTATTTTCAAGGTCAGCATGCTGCAATGCATTACAAACCCTATATGGGATGGTGTTGAAGGAAACTGTAGGTAGCTTCCATGCATCAACTCCCATGCATCAACTTCCATGCATCAACTTCCATGCAACAACTTATTTCTTCTACTAACAAAGTAATAATAACATAAAAGCGATGAAAGTGCCAAATAGAAAACTTCCAATGAGTGGGTGGGGCCGTCCAGCAGAAGAAGCTGCAAAACAAACAAAAACAATGTCAAAACAGATTCAATCAGCATTGCTTGCAAATGAAGGTTTTCATAAGTGTATTCAAAGATGTAACACTGTTACGGCTGTTGGGTGAGCTCAAGTGGGGGGCATGCCACCCCTTAAACAATTAAATGATGGTTCACAAATTCAGTACACTCCGCCTGAAGGTTTAGCTATTGATGCAAGGTGATAGCCATTTAACTGAAGGTTGTGATAAATTCAAAGCAAAAAAAACTTAGAAGCACAGCCTGCTTACCCTTACACTGCCTGCCATTTCCATGATATCCTTTGTTACAGGAACAACTGTATGATCCCCAGGTATTCATGCATTGAGCTTTTGCGTGACAGCCATGGTTACCCTTTTTGCACTCATCCACATCAAAACATGAAAAACCATCACCATGGAAGCCAGAATTGCAACTGCATGTATAAGAGCCATCAGTGTTTCTGCAATCTGCTTTCCAGGCACAAGGCCAACCACTACTGCACTCGTCTTCATCGTGGCAAATTTTCCCGTCGCCTTGGTATCCCGTAATACATTTACAGCTGAAAGAACCAGGCGTGTTCATGCAACTTGCTTTCGAACTGCATTGGGCTGTCCCTTCCTTGCACTCGTTGATATCTACGAAGGAATTAAATAAGTTAATTATTCCTCTCATCCAGCGATAAAATAGTAAACGAACAGCAACAATAGAAATATCAAGCTCCCACCACAAGACCAGGAGTGTCTAGAAAAGAGCCATTATGGTGAAGGCCATTGGCTACCTATTTATAGCGCTTCAACTGCTAATTTTATGCTCACCGTTGCATGACTGTCCATTTCCACGATAGCCGTTGTTACATAGGCAGCTGTGCGACCCTGGGATGTTTACACACTTGGAGTGAGGGCTGCAAAGATGACTTCCGTCGCTGCACTCATCAACATCTTGACACACATAACCATCGCCGGAAAACCCAGAACGACACACGCATTCATGAGAGCCTATTACGTTTTTGCATTCTGCATTTCTATCACACTTGTGAGTTCCATCGCCACATTCGTCAATGTCATCACACGACAGTCCGTCCCCTACGAATCCACGTCGACAAATGCACTCGTAAGAGCCGATAGTGTTATTGCAAAATGCATGATCACTACACTTGTGTTTATCGGTATGGCATTCATTAATATCATGACAGGATTGTCCATCCCCCATGAATCCTTTGTGACACGTACAAATGTAAGAGCCGACAGTGTTATTGCAGGATGCATAAACACTACAGTTGTGTTTATTGGTACTGCACTCATTAATGTCAAGACAAGACCGTCCATCACCTTGGAATCCTTCCAGGCAACTGCACATGTAGGAGCCGACAGTGTTATTGCAGGATGCATGAACACTACAGGCGTGTGAGTTAGTCTTACATTCATCAATATCATGACAAGACCGTCCATCACCTTGGAATCCTTCCAGACAACTGCACTTGTAGGAGCCGACAGTGTTATTGCAGGATGCATAAACGCTACAGGCGTGTGTGTTACTCTTGCATTCATCGATATCATGACAAGACCTTCCATCACCTTGGAATCCTTCCAGACAACTGCACTTGTAGGAGCCAACAGTGTTATTGCAGGATGCGTGAACACTACAGGTGTGTGTGTTACTCTTGCATTCATCAATATCATTACAAGACCGTCCATCACCTTGGAATCCTTCCAGACAATTGCACGTGTAGGAGCCTTGAGTGTTATTACAGGATGCATAAACACTACAATCGTGTGTGTTAGTCTTACATTCATCGATGTCATGACAAGACCGTCCATCACCTTGGAATCCTTGAAGACAGTTGCACTTGTAGGAGCCGACAGTGTTATTGCAGGATGCATGAACACTACAGGAGTGTGAGTTAGTCTTACATTCATCAATATCATGACAAGACCGTCCATCACCTTGGAATCCTTCCAGACAACTGCACTTGTAGGAGCCGACAGTGTTATTGCAGGATGCATAACCGCTACAGGCGTGTGTGTTACTCTTGCATTCATCGATATCATGACAAGACCTTCCATCACCTTGGAATCCTTCCAGACAACTGCACATGTAGGAGCCTTGAGTGTTATTACAGGATGCATGAACACTACAAGCGTGTCTGTTAGTATTGCATTCATCGATGTCATAACAAGACTGTCCATCACCTTGGAATCCCTCCAGACAACTGCACATGTAGGAGCCGACAGCGTTATTACATGATGCATGAACACTACAGTTGTGAGCATTAGTTTTGCATTCATTAATGTCGTAACAAGACCGTCCGTTGCCCGCAAATCCGTCGAAACAACTGCATTTATAGGAACCTACAGTGTTGTCACACACTGCATGGTCGCTACAGCTGTGCATTTTGCTCTGACACTCATCGATATCCTCGCAGGAGTAACCGTTGCCTTGGAGTCCTGTCAAACAGCGGCAATCGTACGAGCCGATAGAATTTACACAAAACGCATGCTGACTGCATGTGGCAGAATTTCTTTTACATTCATCAACGTCCTTACACGAGAATCCATCTCCTTGGAAGCCATTATTACAAACACAGTTGAAATGAGTCTTATCTTTCGGATTTGTTTTGCATGTAGCGTTTCCATCACAAAATGGCTTTTGACGGCAGTTAAAACTTGTCGCTAGTGTTGGTGCATCTGTTAAGGAGAGATGAGAGGGATAAAAATTTTTCTACCGAACTTTAAAATTCTAGACGGCTGATGAACTTTCTTTATAATTTCAACGAATTTTCAGGAAACCCTACATCAATTATTCAGCAGATCAAACCGAGAGTCAAAAGCTTTACATCAGTTCGTGCAAAATGCCTATCGAAGCATTTTCTCGTTCTCAAGTTCACAGTCGAAAATAAGTTTAAACTGCTGATATCCATCGCTGTTCTGTTAGTATCTTTAACAAATAAGTTTAGACTTAGGCAAACATCGGAGAAAAGGTCGTTGCTGAAACAAGTTATTGGTGAATGAGCTGGTTAACTTGTGTAAGAAAGTTGAGCATTTCTCACGCCAACAGTTGAATTTTCAGAGATTTATACTCGCAAAAATTTTCCTGTGATTTCTGTATTCAATCCTTTTACCCAGCAATAAAAAGATAGTTTCAATACTCACCTTTATCTTCGAGAGATCTTTTATGCAATGATATCAGTTCAAATACCACAACAATACAAGCAGTCGCGATCAACAGAATCACAAGTCCTGTCATCCATTTGGACTTGGTCGATCCGTTCATGGCTGTTAAGAAGAAGCCCTAATGCTCCGATTCTTTCCCTTGATGAGTCTACTTTTGTCTCTAAAAATTTGCTAATTTGTTGTACTATTATCTCCAAGGAAATATTCAAAAGGGAGTCGAACGTACGAGTGTCGCTATCCAAATGTGAATTACGACCTCAGCATATTTTTGCTCTTTCAGTTTCTCAGAAATCTGCCGGGGGAACCCCCTAATGCTACTAAGCATTAACCTCTCATTGGTTATTGAGCTGACCGATATAAACAATTTCGTATCATACTGGGAATTTTACCGAAAATTATTTTTAGCACGTGAGCATCGAATAATTACGTCATTGGTCAGGGAAATGAATGCAAAATTATAATTTTGAGAGACAGTTGCCATTTCATAACTTTTGTTTACTGTTACAGGTATTACACTATAACTATTAATGAAAAAATCCACCCAAAAATAGAATTATAACGTTTGAGCATTGTGTTGATCGAAGATATGACAAGAAATATAGAATAAACAAGACTAAAGCACATATCAAGCAAGTGAATTAAACCTAATTATAAACGTTAATATGATTCATGGTAGAAAATTGTGACAATTATGTTTCTGTGGCAACTCAGCGAGTTGTTAGTGATACGTAGTAGTTTCCTAAGTTTATACGTGCTCGTAATAACTAGCCTGACGGCCAAAACGATCAACAGGGTGATTTCCGAACGGCACACAATCCACAGAAATATGTTCTTACGGATGGCTCTGTCTACCTTAATGTCTATACCAATTTTTCTGGTCAAGAAGCTCACTTCAGGTTTTTAATGTGATATAATTGTTCCCGTTAATAATCCTTAAGGATAATTACGAGATGAAAATTTACGCCATCGCTTCCCAAAAGCGAAGAATCGACAAAGAACCAATGATATTGTTGATTTCAATCTCTTTAGTTTCTCGGAATTCTGGGGAACCCCCCGACCGATTTGGCCAACTGCTTCTTGTTGGTTTTCGACTGAATTAAACGAAAAAAAAATAAAATAAGTAAAAAGGAAAGAATTGACCTGTTCATTAAATCATGTCACGCTGTGTGCTGTACATGTAATAGATTTGATGTAGCCTTTTGTCACGCTATGGTCGATTTCGATTCAACGCTCCTGATTTGTGTATAAAAATTGCATTAATACAATTGGCGAGCGTATTGCACCAGATGATGAAATCAAGATTAAAAGAATGTGTCTGGATTATGGCAAACAGCTCTTCTTCATTTCGTTCCTTGGCATTCGTTTTTGTCATGATATTTAAACGGGTGCACTTCCTTTGAAAATTTTAAAACAGATTTAAGAGCAACAGTATGTCACAGAAGTGCTGTTCAATTGTGCGTAATTTTTTGTGGGCTCGACCGTAACTAAACGCCGGAACCCAGACAAACACCGAAGCCTCGATGTGGTTTCAAGCCTTAAATTTTATTCGATGTGGGTATTGAGCTATCTTTGTGCATGAACAGATGATAAACAAGATTAAAACCGAAAACAAATAAGCAGCCTAAAACTGATATGTTTGCGAAACATAATCCAACCTACTTTACATTCGACGTAAAATGTTGTGAGAAATCATTTTATCATACAAACTACGGTGTTATACAAGGATTTCCAGCCCTGAGAAAAGCCGTAACAACACACGTGGAAAAATACTTCTTTCCTATTATGTTGCATAACTTAGTCAAAACACAAAGGTTTAAGCAGACTAATTTTAACTCTGTGACTAAATGTACGGCAGTCAGATTTTCACAGAATTTCCATCGAAAGGTTGTATCCAACTACTTAAGAATATCAGATGTTTGTTTAGAAATGTCAAGCGATTCTAAATATTAATTCAACTTTTTTATTGAACAAACTATCCAAGCTTGAGCATCCTATAATATCGTTCGGTTGTCGACACTTAGAATTTGTACGCTTCCGATGAGCTTACCGAGTTATTCGTGCCCGGCAGCTTGATCAGACACGTAAATGTAAATGACGACAACCAAGCGATACTATAGGATGTACAAGCTCGGAGAATTTGCCCACCTAGAACCCAAATTAATTTTTTGAATCGCTTGACATTTCTAAACAAAAATCTGAAACTGTACTGCACCAGGTAGCACAGCTTTCATGTTTAAGACACGGTGTCGCCGAACGTCTGTTTTACCAAGATGGTTAATATTTCATCATTCGTTTGGTCACGGTATTTTTCGTGTCCTTTTTCTTCACGAAATATCTATGAAAGGATCTCTTGTTGTGATTTAAGACCTCGCTATTTTGATCCAGTTGTCAATAGTACTTTGTTTTCAAATGTTTTTTTTTTCAGATTATATTTTACTTTGGAATTGATCATAATGTAACTCAATCACAGCCATCTTTGCAATAAAAGGGTGAAGCCAAAATTATTTATCCCCTCTAATTGTTTGAGTGGCTCAAAAATGGCCGTCCCATTTGTCTTTTGTCCTTATGTTTCTTTTCGAATCAGAGCCAATCTCGCCAGCCTGAGAAAACGCAATCAGGTTAACGAATTCAAAGCGGTAAAGATGTATTTCAAGTGAGCCTAACTCAATATAAGTTTAAGTGTCCGCTTTTTCAATTAAGTAGTAAGGTTTACGCTGATATTTGCTGTATGAGTCTCCTTAAAAAAAATAAAAATCTGGACATTCTTCCAATTGACCCACCAACAATACACCCAGATAATATTTTGATAACATCATTAGCTACAAGGAGCTCTTCTACCACGCTTTTAAAAGTTAATTACTCTGCCATTAAAATGGAATTCATCGAATTTTGTGAAGCGTAGAAATTTCACGAAATAAACAAAAGCTGCCAGGTATCCAGCAGAGGTCTAAATGAAAGCCAGCGTTATTTTTAAAAGAAATGGAGAAAAAAATTGTAGCAATGAGTGTGTACCCACTGCTTTAAGAAAACTTTAGAGACGTTGACTCAAGTCAATTCTCTGTCACTTGGAAAGCGGCTCCGTTCACTATAAAGATTGGTTTCGAGAGAAACACAATGGTAAGGGTGATAGTTCAGCAGACTGTAATTGATCGCTCGTCGGTGCGATAGAGGGGTTCACAATTGAACTGGCGCGTCCTACTCATCTTTAGTTTTGCTGTTTCTATTCCGATAAAGAGCTAATCCTACCAGTAAAATAAAATGTAATGAGCTGTACGAATTCAAACCAGAGAGGCAATGTAAAACTGTTCTAGGTGTAAGTTGAACACGCGATAAGTTAGAGCGTCCACTTTTTTTTTTTTTCCAAAAGTAACAAACGTCCTAAAAGTGGTGTATGAATATCTTTATCCTGATTGGTTGTGATATTGAAACAAATCTTCCAGTTTTCACCGTATCAAACACAACTTGAATAATAAGCGCCACTAAAAATTGCGAATGGTGAAGATTTGTCCTTCCTTTTTGGTGTGTTTATACTCATCAGTTCATGAGTTAAGTTTTCAATCGACGTTAGACTGTATTTTTCTCATAATTTTCTTATGACGACTCAAATGAAATTTGCCAAGATGGCATTTTTCTCATCCCAATTTGTTATTTCCAGTTCACTGTAACGGAATTCTAATTCGTGCACTAAAACAGTTAAGTAAATTTTTATCCCCCAAATTGTTTGAGTAACTAAAAAGTGGTCGCCCCACTCATCTTTTGTCCTTTTGTTTCTTTTCGGATCAGAGCTAATCTTTCCAGCGTGGGAAAATGCAATTGCGTGAACGAATTCAACGCAGCGGAGACGAAGTTCATGTGCGCCTAACAAGCCATAAGATAAAATATACGTGCACCTAATTCAAAAAGGTGGAAGTTGTAGCCTCCGCCATATATTCACTTCAAGAGTCACTGGACAAAATCTGGACACTCTCCACATTGACCCACCAACGATTCATCACAAATATCTTTATCCTACTAGATTGTTATATTTAAACGAATCTTTCGCTTTTCATGGTATCGGGCACAAAAATGAATGCAAAAGACGCAATTGAAGAAATTGCCACCAATGACGTAAATGTCAAAGTTACGTAATCTACCAAAGTAATGTTTTGTTCCCTGGAGTGATTCTATTTGGCTCTTTAAAGAGTTCATTCACCTTAACTTTGCGATCAGTTCACGCGTTCAGTGAAGGAGTCAACTACTGAAGTTAAGCCTCACCGGGTACAAGTCTTTATATCACAAGTCTTATATCACACTCGTCCTGCATACCGCTACGATCTGCAATGTCTGAAAAACATCTTTTTTTATTTCTTTACCGAGCTCAAAACTTACTATCTCTCAGTCTCTTATTTCTATCTACAAACATTACGCCATCGACATTGCTGATCCCAGCCGTGGAGTCTCTGTGGCTCAGTGGTAGAGCATCGGAACGCGGAATCCGAAGGTCTGAGGTTCGATTCCTCGTGGAGACACAGATTTTTTTCTTTGTCCCATGCTCGTGACATGACGAAAAACATCTTTCTCTTTCTTTACCAAGCTCAAAACTTACTACCTCTCTTATTTCTATCTAAAAAGATCTTGCAAGAATAATTCGAAATGCACTCTGAGTTATAAATGCTGAAAACTAATTCTTATTTTATTGTGCCGTTCCTTTCGTTTCAGAGTGCCTCAATGTCAGCCCGTTACTGCTTAAGTATTGTTTGGCGGATTAAGAATTTATTACAAAAATTAATAGCCCTTTTCCAAAATTCCACGATTCAGAGATCGGTTGCCGAGTGATCGGAGCAAGGATGAGTAGGGAGTTGCTTTCGACGGCACGAAACATGTAAATCCAGGGAAATGAAATAAAAGGGATAAACAACTGAAAAGCGAGCGATGACCGCTCGAAACTTAAGAGGCTCTGCGCCTAAGAAACGACCGATGATTTCTGGCTAAAAATTAAAATCGGCCGATTTTTATCTTCCAAGTGGAGGTTACCTAGTACTATTTAAAAATGAATTTCTTTTGCTTCAGTTTAACTTTAAACCAAAAATATCGAGCCGCGAACTTGTTACGTCTGATGGCTGCAAAATCTGTCCCAAAATATGCCCTTTCAAAAACCGGTTCAAAAATCACTATCGCAACACAAAATAATGAGAAAACTACGCAGTTATGAAGAAAAAGGCCTTTTAATGCAATATCATTCGATAAACATCGCAAAACTTCAAAAGCGAATGAAAAATTAATTTTCAAATATTGCATATCAAATTAGATGGAGCGTTGGAGATGATTTGAAAATAATTATTTCTACAAAATCCAACGCTGTTGAAAGCAATCACAGTGATGAATCAGACATTAGAAGGATATACATTGCGTTTCTGGAAAAATATTTTTCGGCCAAAGTATATTGACCTTGCACGAAGCGTTCAAAGTTGCAGTGTTTACCGTTACGTTGCTACTCCGGCGAAACATTTCTCTGTTGCCAAGACGTCAATGGACAGTGTGGTAAATGTCACTTTAAACCTTGCTAGGCGCTTAAATACCATCCTGAATAGAATGATATGGTATTAAAAGAGAAAGGAAGATGAAAAATAGGTAAAAAAAAGAAAATCATTTACATTTACCATCTGCTGAGGTGAATTGAATCTTGGAAATGTTATCGCGTGACAGCACTCATTTCTCCAAACTACGGCGGAATCCAAGCAAAAGGGTAAAATATAAGTTAAAAAACAACTCTTCCGCCGCCAGAAATCCTGAAGTGAAACAGTTTTATATTTTTGCCATGAATGATGATGAATTCAGGTGAAAATTAGCCTCAGATATGCTACTAAAAAAACGTACAAGTTAAGGTATACTTAAATTGTAGAGATATCTTTTCTGAGTAAGTACGGGTGAGATCCTATAGGTGTTTCATGACAGTACACAAAATTTATTATATGTTCACTTTATCTTTTCTGTGAGTAATAAATGAAGGTTTAATTTGATTACAAGGCTAGGCAACATTAATAAATAAAAATTAAAAATAATTTGTTTGTGACAGAGAGCCTCTTAAGACTATATGGCTCTCCCATAAGCCCGGTGGCTTCCTGGGTCCCCTCGCCTTCTAGCTACAACCGCTGTAAATAAATTTTTTAGTATTGTGTAAATAAGGCAAATAAAAATATGATGATGATGATGATGATGAAACACTACACTGAGCCGAGTCCAGGTTTTGCAGCAACGCCTAAGACAATCGTCACGAGTCCTAAAGATCCAGCCTGGACCTTAGGTGCAAAGGGTGTACAAGGCAGTGGTAGCTCCGACGAAGAAGAGCCCTTTATCACTCCTCGAGATGTTGAAATTCTTCAGATGTACAACACGGCAATGTCAAAATTAGCAATGTCAAGTTCGTCTGCAGACAACTTCTCCCCCTTAACATCTCGCCTAAAGACATCATGGGAAAATATTACCGAACTCGATCGCCAGAAAAGCCAGGAAAAACCTCTTCAAGTTTGTCTTCTGGTTTATGAGGTGGTAACCCCGAACGCAAAAGGGGATTTATTTCAGGTGCTATCCAAATAGAGTGCAAGAGCTTCAGAAGACGATCTTAGTGAAGAACTATCTGCGCTGATGACGGCATATAGAGATGCACCTAGTGAAAGCGTCAAATTACAGATTTTAAGTCTGTATGCCTACAGATTCCCTACAAAAAAAACTTATGAAATGTCAAGAACCAGATGAGCCCGTCACGCGCTGGCAAATAAAACAAGCCAGGAAACATGCTAAAGAAAAAGGACCTGGAATTCCACAGGAAAAAACAGTCCAACATCGAATTCGCCTTCTAATGGCAAACGTCGATCATTTCGTCGATTTTGTTAATGGGCCTTACTTCTATCAAGACGTGGCTTATGGTACAAGAGAAATCAAACTAGGAACGGGAGAGAAACTGGCCATGCCTAACGTCGTGCGCACCGTAACTCGAACTACCATGATTAACCAGTATTTACAGTACTGTGAAGAGGAGGCGTTCTTACCCCTCAGCACCCGAACTCTTTCTAAGATTCTTGAGGTAAGGGAGGCATCCCAGAGAAGGTCACTTCAAGGCTTGGACAATATCGCTACTGATGGTGCAGCTGCATTTGAGACTCTAGAGAAAGTAATAGATGAACTGAATTCATTGGATGCTGAGTCCAAATGGTGTACGCAAAGCACGACAACCCTTGGGGGTTCCAACGGTACTTAAAAACAGAGTATCCTGTCGACTGCAGAGACGGCCAGCAGAGTACATGCCCAGAACACAACTGTAATTTTGCTCTTGGTGATATTAGTGGTGATGCTTTTAAATTTGAATGCAATCATGTCCACGATGCTGTGTGTAGCAATTGTGAATCCTTAAAGAACCTACTGCGGGAAATGGAAGACCAAAAAAAGAAACGTGGACATTGCATTTTACAGCAGAGATCACTAAGAAGGTATCTTGTACGATTTTGTGAGAGCAAAACAAAACATCCTTGACTGGAAAGTACACATTCTTAGGTCATACAATCAAGAAAAGGCAAAACAAGACCTCTTACAGAACTTAAACACCTCTGAGGCAATCGTTGTAATGGACTGGGCAATGAAATTTTAGCAAATGAAGTTTAGAGAGAAACAGTCAGAGTGGTTTGGTAAACGTGGATTAAGTTGGCACATAAGCAGTGTCATCTTTAAAGACGAAAACAGCAAAGAAGCAGTGGTGCAATCGTATGCTCATCTGTTCGATTTCTGTACACAAGACTGGTATTCAGTCGCTTCCATTCTAGAAGATCTGCTTGTCAAGTTCAAGTACACCCATCCTTCAATTTCTCAAGTGTATTTACGTTCAGATGAAGCGGGTTGTTACCATAACAACTCTCTCATCACAGCTCTACCAAGCATCGGAGAACGCACTGGAATTTTGGTCAAACGCTTTGATCATTCTAAGCCGCAACACGGCAAAGACATTTGTGATCGTATTTTGTGTCCAATGAAAGCTGCCATAAGAACATTTTGCAACGAAGGTCATGATATCGTTACGGCTAATGATATCCACACGGCGCTAAAAGAACGGCTGGTGAAAGGGACAACTGCAGCCGTAGGCTCTGTTGATGAATCAAACAAGAACGCTGAGGTTAAAAAATTAGAAGGCTTTAGCAAATTTCACAACTTCTCTTTCGAGGGTGAAGGCATTCGTGTCTGGCGATTTAGTGAAACCGCAAAAATCACCGTCGCTCATTACCAAGGAACCATTTTTCCCCATAAGCGTGTCTCGAGTCTTTAAACCAGAGACGAAAACCAAGCCTAAAAGCGCAACTGTTTTTGTTTGTCCCGAGCCTGGATGCACAAAAACGTTTGCAAAATTTTCAGACTTTGAACTTCATTTAGATGTAGGAGAGCACGTGGTACAAAACGAACCGGCCGATCTGCAACATAATATATATGATAAACTAAAACGAGACTGGGTTGCTATGCTATGATCGTCAAACCCAGCATTGCCAAACTGATTCAACATGAGCTCACAGCGAAAAATCTGTTCCCGAAGCAAACATGGGATGGGCTCTGGCCAAGGCATGAGGTGGTCCTACTCAGTTTTCTGAAAAGGTAAAAGATTATCTAACATCATAACATAGGAGAGAAAACTGGACAGAAAGCTTCTACAGAACAGGTAGCAAAGGACATGCGCAATGCGAGAACTTACGATAACCAAAGGCGTTTTGGAAGGGAAGAATGGCTTACAAAATTGCAAGTCCAAGGATTCTTTTCTCCCTTGGCATCTTCGAGAAGAAGGCAGGGTTGGCACGTGGCTGACACAAGTGAAGAGTATAACGAAGGTGACGAAGTTGGAGAGCAACGCCATGTTGTTGAAGAGGTGGTAAAGAATCTGGGCTTAAACACCCAATTATATTTGATGTTTACAATCTTTGTCAATATTACCATAGCAACAAGTTATCATCTTTCAATGTCAGTATGTTAAAAGACATGTGCGGGTATTTCGAAATACCCTACAAATCTAGAGATCTAAAAAGAGACCTTTTAGCTAAGGTTTCAGAACTTGTACAGGAATGCGAGTGCAGCAAAGAGTAATTTAATTCTGTATCACGATCTTTACAGCACAAGAGTTTGAGTGCGTGATACTGTCCAATGTCATACTTCAGATACTTTGCAATATGAGTTTATATCACGACTGTGCGTAGTACAATGATTATTATGTCTATATTGTTAATACTATAGTGGAAACAATGTATCTTATTGATGAAACAAATATACAGTTCTTTCGTTGTAAAGGTTATAAGGATCTATTTCTGCAAAGTGAAGTTTCGCAGGAAACAAATGAAGTATTTTAGGAAATAAAATTCCCAAATAAGTGAAGCATTTTCCATCGCTTTCATCGAATTTAAAATTCTACCGTTCTCCTAAATGTTTTTACCATTTCCTCACCGAGTTTTTGATTTTCAAAAAACGCTAACCCTAGGCTAATCAGTTTGCTAAGAATTCAATCTGTAAGCTAATCTTTTTCTCCTTAAAGACCATTATTATCGTCAGGCCCGAAAATGAAAAAATTGGTCAGATTTATTTCAATAGACCGCTGACCCGAAGCGTCGACTTTTGACGCCCTATGTTGTTATGAAATAGAACGCTCAGATCTGCGACACACGACAAAAAATAATTTTTTAGACGTGTAGTTACATCATCTCGACATTCATGCAGAAACACTGTCTCCGTGCGACCACGTGAGGATCCGCAGTCCAGGAAACCCTTTTTTGACAAAGAACAGGCATCCGCCATGATTACCTGGTTGTTTCTATTTTTACGTCCACTGACCCTTGTAAGTGCTGACCCGTAACGTCCGTTGGAATGTAACGAAACACGTGCAGCCCACTAAAGTACTAAATGGACACTATCTGAGGCTAATTTTCACCTGAATTCATCATCATTCATGGCAATAATACAAAACTGTTTCACTTCAGGATTTCTGGCGGCGGAAGAGTTGTTTTTTAACTTATATTTTACGCATTTGCTTGGATTCCGCCGTAGTTTGGAGAAATGAGTGCTGTCACGCGATAACATTTCCAAGATTCAATTCACCTCAGCAGATGGTAAATGTAAATGATTTTCTTTTTTTACCTATTTTTTATCTTCCTTTCTCTTTTAATACCATACCATTCTATTCAGGATGGTATTTGAGCGCCTAGCAAGGTTTAAAGTGACATTTACCACGCTGCCATGGACGTCTTTGAAACAGAGAAGTGTTTCGCCGGAGTAGCAACGTAACGGTAAACACTGCAACTTTGAACGCTTCGTGCAAGGTCAATATACTTTGGCCGAAAAATGTTTTTCCAGAAACGCAATGTATATCCCTCTAATGTCTGATTTATCACTGTGATTGTTTTCAACAGCGTTGGATTTTGTAGAAATAATTATTTTCAAATCATCTCCAACGCTCCATCTAACTTGATATGCAATATTTGAAAATTAATTTTTCATTCGCTTCTGCAGTTTTTGATGTTTATCGAATGATATTGCATTAAAAGGCCTTTTTCTTCATAACTGCGTAGTTTTATCACTATTTTGTGTTGCGATAGTGATTTTCGAACAGGTGTTTGAAAGGGCATATTTTAGGACAGATTTTGCTCCCATCAGTCGTAACAAGTTCGCGGATCGATATTTTTGGTTTAAAGCGAAACTGAAGCGAAAGAAATTCATTTTTAAATAGTACTAGGTAACCTCCACTTGGAAGATAAAAATCGGCCGATTTTTATTTTTAGCTAGAAATCATCGGTCGTTTCTTAGGTGCAGGGCCTCTTAAAGTGGTCGAGTCACAACTATTTGAGAGAGAGAGAGGAATTTGTAATCGGCAAAAGAAAGCGAAAACGGAACTGCTTGATTAATCTTAAAAATCTGCAGCAATGAAACAGAGAAAACTAACCGATTCCGCTGCCGAAGATCTCAAAAAGATGTTGATTGTCACCTTGCTCGGACGTGCAGTCTCTGTAACATTCCAGAGCCTCGATTAGCTTCGCTATTTTGCAGGTATGGATTGTTTGATATGTTTTTTAATTGCTACAATAAATAAACTTTTGTTGTTGTTGTTTTGTTGTAGAGTTCTTTTTCGGCATCGTGTGCAGCCTTGCCTCAGGTGTTTTGATGTCATCGGCGGTTTCTGAGTCGTTGCGAGCATTCTTTGCTGTCTTTGCTCGGTTTGAAAACGGTTGGCAGAGCGGAGTCGAGAACCTTGGTACTATAAGCAACTGAACAATAAACCATTTTGTAAACGACACGAAATATTCGACCCAATTGCCAGAAAAGTTCCCTTGAGAGCTTCTGTTTTTCGTTTCTCTTGAGAAAATGTTCGCCCCATTGTTTATCACTTTTATTTCATTTCCCTGGGTTTACATGTTTCGTGCCGTCGAAAGCAATTCCCTACTCATCCTTGCTCCGATCACCCTTATTTCGGCAACCGATCTCTGAGTCGTGGGATTTTGGAAAAGGGTTATTAATTTTCTTAATGAATTCTTAATCCGCCAAACGCAAAGTTAAGGTGGATGAACTCTTCAAAGAGCGAAATCGAATCACTCCAGGGAACCAAACATTACTTCGGTAGATTGCGTAACCTTGACACCCTCAAAAATGGCCGCCCCACCCATCTTTTGTCCTTTGTTCCTTTTCGGATTTCATCTGCTTCAACGGCAGCAAAATGACAACTTGCTTGACACACGATCAAATAAATGATAGAAGAAAGATGCCAGTTTTGAGCGAAGAAACGTTTCTTGAAGGTGGGCAGTTATTTAAGAAAAATTTCCAAAGCCGAAATTTGCACTCACGTGCGCGAGTTCGACTCGATGTCCGAACTTTCGGGGTTTGTTTACATCAAAAGTTACGTGACACTACACGTGAAATTACACGTGAAATTACACGTGAAATTACACGTGAAATCGAAAGCCCAAAGGGGCAATTGCGTCTTTCGCATTCATTTTTGCGCCCGGATACCATGTGAAACTGCAATAAGCGTGTAAGTCTCCTGGCCTTTAATAACAACACCACAAACCAAATTCGAATGAAGATTTATTGTAGCCGACGTGCTTGGTACTAAGAGTGTGCATACAAACAGCGTGGGTTGAAACTAAAACGGTAAAAAAGCAAAAAAGTTACAAGTTGCGACTAAGGTAAATTAGAGTAAGGAAATAACAAAACTGCAAAACGAGGACTGTGAAGTACACTTACATTGTTTCGGCCAGAGAAAACTGCTGTAAAGCGGACTGCGAATAACGCGAAGAGACTTGCAAGAAACTAAACAGAACTGCGCTAAGCGCGGACCAAAATGAACTGCCCAAACTGTACTGCAAAACTACGATATGAAAAATACGCTAGAACATGCGGAAAATAAAACTATAGAAACTTAAAAAGGCGCTAATGAAGATGAAACAGCACAGAAACGCTAACGAGGGCGCGAAAACTGACAGAAAGGAATAAACACCTAAATTAACGCCAAAAAAAAAAGACTAAACAAATGGACGAAAAGAAGTATAAACTAATTTGCGTACGCAAAGGAAAAACAAATTACGCAAGAACGAAAAATAGAAAAAATGTTACACTTGGATCTTACACCTTGAAGAGCGGAAGATTAATTTAAATATAACAATCTAGTAGGATAAAGATATCTGTGATGAATCGTGGGTGGGTCAATGTGGAGAGTGTCCATATTTTGAACTCTAAAGCTCAAAAGTTGAATTGAAGAAATTACGTAAAACTACCAATGACGTAAATGTCAAAGTTACGCAATCTACCAAAGTAATGTTTGGTTCCCTGGAGTGATTCGATTTGGCTCTTTAAAGACTTCATCCACCTGGACTTTGCGATCAGTTCACGCGTCCAGTGAAGGAGTCAACTACTGCAGTTAAGCCTCACCAGATACAAGTCTTTTAGCTAGCAAGCTATTCATTCTCAGCATGGTATTTTCAAAGCAGGTAAGTGAATTCCCAGATCTAAGCAACTAATAAAATTCAATCTATTTTAGAAATAAAGTGGAGAAATTTCGATGCAGTCTGCCGTTTCATACTCGAAACTTAAGGTCTTTGATATCAAATTGATTTATTTGGAGATCTGAGTTTTTAAGTCATTTTCATGATGCAGGCCGAGAATTTTTAGTCTCTCTTTTCCGCAAACTGACCTGAATTTACTGAAAAGGTGAGCGAAACCATCAAGTGATTCTTAGTAAAAAACAAAAAGACAACGAAGGGATGAATCAGCCAAATGTGTTGTAGATGGTTAGGGCCGCAATGAAAAGCATCGCCAGAAATCAAGGACATTTCGAGCCCGCTAACAATTATCAGAGGTATATCGTATTACACTCCGGAACAATCGGAACAATAGAATATCAAGAGAATTCAATATGGCGGCAATCACGGCTCGATCTGCAAAGAAGCGTGTTTCGTACCATGACTTACACAATTTGAGCACTGCAGATCTACTATTTGATGAAAAGAAAAAGAAAAGAAGATCTGCAGGTAAATCTTTGGGATTTTTCGAGGCAGAGCGATGACTTGATGTCAGAATTTTGATTTGCTTTTAATAAATTACTGAATTTGCATTTAACGCCTCGCATATTTTTTTCCGAAAAGGACCTGAGAACTAATTTATTTCCTAGCAAGAACATCAGCGTGGCTCGTGTTTGACCATTTCAATCATAGTTTTTAACATGGCGTCTCGTCACTTACTTAACATGGAAAATAAGGGATATTCTGCCGCATCGGGAAGTTTTTTGCTGCGAGGAAATGACGATTTTACAGGATATTTTGACGCTTCGGACTCAGTAGCAGTCGATAGACCTTTTCCCAGCGCCGTATTGGAAATGTAACCGCGCACACGTGAGAACTAGGCTGGGGTTGACTCGCGTTGAATCTTTGTGAGAGCTTTTAATGAAATTCGTACGTGAGCAGTAAAATTGTTCGATTTTTAAGGAAAATGGATGGTCCTAGCCGAAATCTCGATAAAGCTAATTTTTCTCCCAAAAAGAAAGGAAAGCAGTGTGCCGCTTTTGGTTGTTCAAATACATTTTATGGCCCCAATGGTTTGCCTACGAGCTTTCACTTCTTCAAGTTTATGCACGGAGGCATGTATTTTTGCTAAGTATTTATCGTTCTATACTTATTTTATTCTCTGTGAATTATGGATGAGGGTAACTATTGTTACAAAATAAGTAAAAATTTTCTAGTAGGTACCTGAATTGTTTTTAGTTCAGTAGAGTTTTTTTTATTTTGGCAGCAAGTCAAGAAGTTCAGTGCTGCTCACCTGTTTACTACATAGCTTACCTAAAACACTCCTAGCCGAGAAACTCTTGGAAAGTAATTGTTTTAAATAAAATAACCATGACACTGTAGCTTCAGAGTTTTCACTTATTATGACAGACCCAGAAAACTGACCCAAATTTGGTAGCAATTGTGACAAAAGCAGTTTTCAGTAGTTGTTTTTGTTTACTATCCACTATAGATGCCACATGGAACTCTCAAAAAATATTTTGTGTGCTTTATGTATCAATCAATTTGATGCTTCAAATTGAAAAAAAGAAAAAGTGAGTTTCTCCAACTAAAATAGTTCTCGACACAAAGATGAACTATGACACTAAATTTTATTATTCACAAAATTGTCCTCATGATAAAAAGTTTGATAGAAGTCTCGCAAAAAATAATTTCTCATACATTTCGATGGTCTGAAAGATTCTCTTTCAAACAAATCTTATGGTAACTATAACAGGATAAAATAAATATCTTGATTTGCATATATTCCTCAATCTTTTAAGTATCTTCTTTACATCTCAAAATTATATCATAACATTGGTTAACACAATGCAGTAAGAACTAGTATAGCAAACCTTTGCGTCAGAAAACCTCTGAGTGCCAAGAATGGGAATATCAATTCACTGAATGTTTATCACTGACAGAAACTTAAATGTGTGTAAAGGACTAACATTGTTGAGATCAGTAGCTGAGAGGAAGATTTCTGTTCTCTTCCTTTAACCCTTAAATACCCAAGATCTGATTGTCAATTCTCCCTTTTAGTTGCTACACATATACTTGTAAATAAGTTAAGAGAATTTGATGTAAGATCAAGATAACTTTTGCTTGATAACTTTCATTATTAACATTATCTGTTTGCTGGATAGTGTTTGGAGAAGTTACATGAATCAGTCACTTCTGTGAGTTTTTAAATTGTCTAATATTTTGGTCTGATTCTTTCAATGGTGTCTTGCCACCTAATAAATTACCATGAGCCACGAACTGAAATGGTTTCGATGTATCACGAGCATAAGTTGTCCTGGGCCAGATGGGTATGAAAATATTATGACATCTGTTAGTAACAGTTTTCCTCGTCGGTTGATAGAAACAAGGGTTATAATAAAGTGGTTCTACAGGCTCTATTGTATAGTTTCCCACAAGATAAAATGTACAAATGGCAAACTAAAAGACATCTTGGTGAACAAAATGGGAACAACTTTAACTGAAGAATATGATACAACAACAAGTACCACATCAACAACAGCAACAATAACAAATCTCCTCTACCTAGAGGGCTGCAGCCTTTGCTTCGCTTTCTAAGCCATACTGAACAGCTTCTGTGGTATTTCCTGTAATGCGTTCCTCTCAACACGATGTGGTGATATTCTCGTGAAACAACGGGGTAATCGTAAAGCTGACTGAAATTCATCTCGGGTAAATTACGGAGATTGCTCGCCATCCAAGGGCTGAAATCCTTACCATAGTTACTTCGTATCTGAAGTCACTCTGGTTTTGTTCTAGGTCCTGGACATCTGTAAGAAGTTCTCGGTTTTCTCCACTACTCGATGGAAGGACGTGTCACATCAGCAAGGCATAAACTTTCAACACTAAGTCGGCTCTAATTCAGCCCGTCGATTTTAAATCATATTTAAAATCTCCTTGAGATCTCTTGCTTCGAGTTTCTGGATGTCGTCTGACGACGAAATTTTCATATTGTTGTGTTAAAGAACTATTTTGAAGGGAGAAATCGCATTGAAAAGTGCATTAGATCATGAAATGTCTGCAGATCAGCCGTTTGAAAGAACCGCCGGGTCAACCCCAGCCTCGTTATCGTGTGTGCGCAGTTACTGATCCAATATGGCGCCGGGAACTGTAAAAAGGTCTATTCGATCGAGAGCAGTTGACTTCATTGATATACTTTCCTATAATAGGCGAGTTTTTGGGATGGAGAACGACGGATTTTGAAGAATTGTATAGCGACTTAGGTCAATGATCAATGACAAAAAAACTGGCTCGGGAAGTAAGTTGTTTTTATTTATTGAGTCCCTTTGAGGTTTGATGAATAACAGAATCAGTACTGAATATGTATCGATCGAGAGCAGACGGAGCCATGAGCTCCTGATTGTTATATTTTAGAAATTTTACAAATTTCCATACAGTTTCCTAAATTATTTGGACGCCATTATGGACGAAATGCGCAAGCGCGGCCGCCGTCTTGTCCGATATTTCTGCCAATGGATAAAAGGAAATTCAGACTTAAGCAACTTCAAAAGTTACATGCACAAAAATCCTTGCATAAAAAACGACTTTCTCACAAAAACGTTTTTTTTCGAAAAACGATGTGACCTTGTGCCAACATTCAAGTAAGAGCTTTAAAAGAGAATCATAATAGGGCGACTGCCCAAGTAGCCACTGGGCTGTGCAAAGAGTAAAAAGATCTTAAAGGAAAATGTTTTTCGTCTTGTCACGAGCGTGGGACAAAAAAAAAAGATTCCCGTAAGGAATCGAACCTCAGACCTTCGGATTCCGCAGTACACCATGGAATGGATCAGAAACGCACAAACTATACATGATTAGTCTTAGGTTGTAGCATTTAACATGTTTCCATCTACTAAGTGAGAATAACAATAGCGGCAGAGGGAACCAACTGATTAAGAACAGCTCATCGGTTCTCTTTTAAGTCTTAAATAGCAAAAGTGAAATAAACATAACAGAAAGCACGTCATTTCGTTGGGCACGACTTGGTAGTGACTAAAAATTAGTATTATTTGGCTATCGCTAGATGGCTTTCCATGAACCAATTCTTAATTCTTTAAGCATCTAATACACCCTTGAGTCCACCCTTGATGATAGCCTTGTTTAATTTTCATTGCGTTTTGTCTTTCCTTGATCCAGATTATCCCAGATGACGTGAAAATGGAATATGAAATGAAGGGCTGGGTCAATGGCTATGAGTTTACCATTGAAGGTGAAGGTGACGGAAAACCTTACGAGTAAGTATCTGTTAAACAGATCAGCATAGATTTACACACTACAAAAATAATCATTTGTTTAGCGCAGCTAAAAAAATTAAACTAAAAGTAAAGTCAGACAGAAATTCCTAAAACAAATGTTGAAAGACATCTGATGAAGGCTGAGTGGAAATGGTCCACTCAATGAAGAAAAAAGTTTCCAAGACCCTCAATAAGATACAAATTAGACTGGAAAACTGAAGAAACGAGAGTTAAAATGAGCTTACATCCATCACAAGACGGCTAATGACTCAAACTGGATTCGCATCCTTGAAAAAGGCCACGACGAGGCAAAAGTCACATAAAAAAACGATTTTATACATCTATTAAAAATTCCACCGCAGTTAGTCTCACCTAAGATCTATGATAAGGCGAATGTTGAGGGAAATTGTCAGTTCTCGCCTCTCAACGTAGAATTATGGGTCAATTGTATGTGTTGATGTTTCCAACTATTTTTTACTTATTTTAGGGGGAAACAGACGGCCAATTTTAAAGTCATCACAGGGGCACCACTTCCATTCTCCTTTGACATACTGTCCCCAGCGTTGCAATATGGGAATAGATGCTTCACTAAGTATCCTGAGGGCATGCCCGACTATTTCAAACAAGCATTTCCCGCTGGAATGTCGTATGAAAGGACATTTACATTTGAGGATGGAGGAGTTGCTACAGCCACTGGACACATTAGGTATGTGATGAATTACAAATGCGGTTAACCCTGTTAACCTTTTTATCGCTATTTTTATTTGCATATGAATCTTTTACTTATACTGTACTGTTGGGAAAGATTTCAGAGCAGTCAGCTAGAAACATATGTAGATATGATAACAGTCGCACTAAGAGCGATTGGAAACTAAGAGTCCATCGTTTCATCAGGCTGAATTGTTCGTGAATGGCTGCAGCTTTTAAAGCCACTTCCTCTTAACTTTTGAAAAGTGAAAGATAGATTAAAGGAATATTTTAAAGAAGTAGTTTATGAGCAGTTTTTCCGTTATAAATAACAAACGCCTTAGAGTTTGCCTTGTTTTAAGATTTATTATCACGAAATGGATGCTTTGCTTCTTTGCACCTGACAGTCTCGTAGGCAACTGTTTCAAGCACAAGTCTATTTTTCATGGCGTAAACTTTCCTGCAGACGGACCTGTCATGAAAAAGGAGACAACTGGCTGGGACCCGTCCTTTGAGAAAATGACTGTCTGTAATGGCTCTCTGAAGGGTGACGTCGCTATGTTCCTCCTACTCAAAAATGGAGGCTATCACAGATGCCACTTCAATACAACTTACAAGTAAGGTCTATTGTAGTTGGAACACTTTCGAGACGTTACATTGGCATTTTCTCGATAATTTTCTGGGCTCCCTTCCACAGAGCACATCGACAAACATAGCCATTTAGAAAGACATTTCAGCGCTTTCATGTTAAGTGAACTCTCTAGGTTGTGAGTGAGATTATTATACAGAAGTATAAAACTAACACCACTGTAGCAGTATTGGTACATTTATTAAGCTGGATGGAAAACACAGCTCTCAACTAAGCTGAGCTAAGCATAACTAGTTGCCATCAAATTTATTCTTGGTTATAAGACGACGCGGCAAACTCTGATCCAGGTAACATTTGTCTCTGAAGTTGTGGAATCTAACTTTTATATTCTGAGAGGAAAACTTATGTATTTAATAGTTCACTTCAACTGGTAAATATTTTTGATATCAAAATCTTTATAACCTTTCTCTTACGTGGAAAATAGTCAACAACTGACGGTATTCACCAAGTCTCGTGATTTTTTATTTCCTTCTCTTAAGAATCCACCAACACTCAGCAATTGAAGAAGTCCATCGCTCAAATTTGAAACATAATGAAACTCCTAAGGAAATTGACCAAATTTTCCCTTACTTTGCATTTTACAGAACAAAGGAGCCGGTCTCATTACCACCCAACCATTGTGTGGAACATCGTATTGTGAGAACTGACCTTGACAGGGAGGGCAACCTTGTCAAGCTTGAGGAAGATGCTGCGGCACATGTTAACCCATTGCAAGATCATGGAAACGTGCTAAAAATCAGAGTTTCTGACAATACTTTAAAAGCATTGTAACGCGAGTGAGAACAGAAGGATAATAAAGTACCAGTGAAATGATCCGCATCGGAGTGTTAATTTGTAGCAACCTTGCATTCATAGCTAAAAGTAACTCTGAAAAAATAGTATTATATGAGTTATGGAGGAATATTCTGATAGTCCTAAAAACCCATTGTGTAATCTGAAACTCCCTAACCCCCCTACCCCCCACTCCCGCCTCTTCAATAGAAAGCTACTGGATGACTGTTGTCACTTTAGCTTGATTTCGACTGATTGTCTTTCAATGCGCTTCCCCGGAAATAGTACTAGGTCGTATAACATATTATGACATGATTCTTTATCAATATTGAACTAAGTATGAGCTCAAAGAACGAACCAAATGTTCTTCCGTTTATTACTCCCACTCAGTCAATAGGAAACAAGATTCCAGTCGATTGACTTTAGCTTCTTTCTCTTTTTTTTTAATAATCATTTGGAGCTGAAAAGACAAGTACCTTAACAGGCTGTCAAGGTTTCTGACAAAACCATACCCAATTCAGGATCACAGTGGTCAATTATAGACCAAAACAGCTCAAAGACCACACTCTTTTAGGTGATAAAGCTTCTAAAGAGG